TTTCGGGCCTAGACCCTTCTTCGGTCTAGGCCCGAAACGTCAGCCTTCCTGCTCCTCTGATGGATTTCTTTTATATTGGTTGACAAATAAATGTTTGTCTGTGCCCAAGGGCTATCTCCCACGCTCTTGGTCAAGATATTTTACTTCAATCTGCAAGGGTAGACGGACCTTCATTTAAAGTCTCATCCACTGCATGGCATCTCTAACAGTGTAGCCCTCTCACTGTACTGTGCTGGAGCATAATCCAACAATACGCCACATCCTGTCTAGCATAGAAGAGGAGCAACTCAAATTGCAGGAACTCATTCCTGTGTAGTAAATTGTTTAAAGTTTAACATTATAAAATTTTCTTACCTTTCCTTTCTATCTCTCTACTGTCTTGCTCTTAATCTAATCTTTCTAACATTCTATTTATTTCTCTTTCTGCATCGATTTTATTTCACCTCATTTTCCTTCTATTTTGTGTTCTTTCATTCTCTGTCCTTAGGTCTTTTAACTGACTTCGCACATCGCATTTTAAGGTACAAAATACTTTTAAAGCTGAAGGAGAGAAAAAGTCTGACAAGTAGGGCATGCCTCAACATGCCTCACTGGAACAAATTCCAGGCCAATTATCTGGGACCATTTGATGAAAAAGGCAGATTTAGTGGAACAGATGTAATGTCGATGAGCCACGAAAAGACAATGACGAAGAGTCGTCTCGACTCGAAACGTTAGCTTGCTCTCTCTCCATGGATACTGCCTGACCCGCTGAGATCTCCAGCACTTTTTGTTTTCAGCCATGAAAATACAAACTCGTTAGATTAGTGCGTAAAATAAAATTTTAAATGAAATAACGATTTTTTGGGGGGGGGTTCGTATAAATTACACCCTAATTTCAGTTGAAAGTTCAACACAATGTTGCATTGTTTAGGGAAAAATAATATAGAACGTAAAACACCAATAGAAGGAAAACGTGGCGGGGGTTGTAGTCCTTTAGATTGGAGCATGGCTACAGTTTGTGTGACAGTCCATTCAAGGTGCACCTCCAGCGCCCAGCCTCCTTTCATTCATTCAATCCTGAGCTTCCAGCCAGAAATATCCCACAACAAAAGCTCGGTGACGGCCGTGTGAGTGACGGCGCGATAGGCCAATAAGAACACGGAGGCCCCGCTCTCACCCCGCCCCCATCGGTTGGCGTCACAGACCAATGGAAGCTGGGATGGTGGGTTTGGGGGCGGGGGCGGGAAGGAGCCGCGGAAGGGAGGGATGTGATTGGCCGCCGGGGGAAGGGGGCGGGGACCTCCCCTGTTGTTATGGCTGTGAGCTGGCGGCGTCTCCCCGTCCAACCAACATGGCTTCGGCGGTCGGTAGCACCACCACCGGCTCCACTCTCCTGCTGCCCCTCAGCGAGGCGATCAATCTCTCCATCGATCAGGTACCGTGCGTGCCTTGGTTTTACGACCGCCTTGTCTTCTCCGCCGCTATGTTAAAGTTTGAATTTGCAGTCGGAGTCTCTCTCCTTCCCGCCTCTTTCCCCCCCCCCCCCTCCCCGGGCCCCTGGGGAGGGCAATAATTCCCCTTTCCCCCCCCCTCCAGCTCCTGGAATATTTATACAGCAACCACTATCCCCCCTCCTCCGGCTGGGCTGTGGAGTATCAAATACTTCACTGGATACAGGTCTCTGCTCTAGTTTCTCGCCCCAGATCAATGTCAGTTGATGTTATTTTTTTCCTTTCTTCCCCCCCCACCGTCCCAACCCCATAATAACTGGTGGGTGGGGGTGTGATTTGTTTTTTGTTAAAATTTGAGACTCACGGCTGCCGCCTCTGTCCGGCTCTCTTCCTAACCAGCTTTTGCCTTCTTTTTTCATTTTGAAAAAGGAAAAAAAAAGTATCTCCTGTTTTTTTTTAAGCTCTTATTTACTGAATTGGATGTGATTTCCTCTATTTCTCTTCTCCCCCCCCCCCCCCCCCCCGCCAAACTCACCGCCCCGGGTCATTTAGTGTCCGTTTCGATATGCAGCAGTGTTTCCAAGTCTGTGTCTCGATTAAAGGGGACGAGTTACATCTATCTGCCTGTCAGAACGTTAGGAATCGCGACCCCCCACCCCAAGTTGCTGAGTACTCGGTCCTTGTCGCTGTTGTGCTGTAGACCCGAAGGCTGCTCTGTACGTGTTGGGTTTTGTTTTGTGTGTAAATGTTCTGCCTCCTTGCCTTAGGGGGGAAAAAAGTCCCCCCCCCCCCCCCCCACCCCCGGTAGAATCTGAACATCTGTTCTGTCGTTGATGTAAAATAGTGCACAGGCGAAGTTTTAACACTGGCTGTAAACTTGATTCTGAGGAAGTTTCAACAAGTACGACGTCCAGAAATGTTCACGATTGTCGAGCTTATTTGCGAACTAGTTGATTTAGGTTGGACGAATGTCATTGCCTCGATGTCTTGTGATTTATAGGATGATGAATGTTGAACTACTTTATAGACTGTGTTTGACGGTCCATTTCGAAGTACGAGGCGTTCCCTACGCCCAACCCCCAATTTGTATGAACTTGGAGTGAGACGCGTCTGTGATCTACTCAAATGTGCATACGAACTGAAAAACTAAGATACGTTTTAGTATAGTAAAGACGGTTTGTACATTTCCAGGGCAACTTGGATATTTGTGATGTGAAGGTTTAGGGAATCGAACTTTCTGTTGCCTGCATTTTTCACCTAGTATCGGCATCATGTATTCCAAAGGCATGTGTGGCTTAATTTTCCACAACACTCAATTAGCGTTAAAGCAAATGCTTAACTGTTTCACCATTTTTAAAAAAAACCCCACAGAGTTGATACAGTTAGGAAAGTGACTATGTATTAGAAGGAAGACTGGCAGTTGATATGCTATTGAGATGGAATCAACTGTGCTACTGGTAAAATAAGTCTTTGTAACCCGGGAGCCACAAGTGCACCTCTGGTTGTAAACGAGATAGTTTGTTTTAAAATTAAATTATTACCACCAGAATAAAAGCATTGATGAAATGGTGGACTAACATGGCAATTTTTTTGCCAATGTGTGATTGGTACACTGTACTGATTAAAACACCTTTTTATATTTCATTCATGGGATGTGGATGTTGCTTGCCAAGCCAGCATTTATTATTCCTGATACTGCTTCAGTCGACATGATGGTACATCCAGTGTGATTGATAGAGTTCCAGGATTATGAACCAGTGACAGTGAAACAAAGGAGAAGTATTTCCAAATCTGATTGTGTGTTTCTTTAGTGTGAACTCTGATATGATGATGTTCCTATGATTGTGCTGCTTTTGTTGTTCTAGATAGTGATTTTATTTAGTAAGTACTGTCAGCTTGTGGAGTTGCCCAGTAATGTTGATGGGGAAGTGAGTGAATATATAGCAAAGTCAATTTGTGTATCACATCTGTAAACAGCTTAAGACTCATTCTTCTTTTCATTTTGCAGAAGCATTATGAAGCTAAAAGTAGTCACATAGCTGACATGAGGATAGATCCTGAAACCTTCTACAAAGACGTAGGTTTAAAGGAGCAACTTGAGAGGAATGAAATGTAAAGAAGTTGAAAGAGTTATGTAGGAAGTTCCAGAGACTGACATGTAGCCAGCTCAAAGTCCTGCTGCAAGAGATGGAGAGAAAATTAGGGATGCTCAAGAGGCCAGATTTCGATGTGTGTGGATATGAGGGTTGTGGGGCTGGAGGAGTTTGCAGAGATGGGAAGAGCTGGGAACATTGATGGACTTTGAAAGAGGGTTGAGAATTTTAAAATTGCAACGGTTCCTGATCAAGCAGCAAAGTAGCATAGGAAAAACAGGAATGATAGGTAAATGGGACTCGGTACAAGTAGGGGGATGGGAAGCTGTTTTGGATGAGCTCAAATTTATGGACAATGGAATATTATAGATGATCTCAGATATAGGAATAGTCAAGTCTTGACACAATAAAGGCATGAATGAAGGATTTGGAAACAGATGAGCTGAAGTAGGACAAAGGTTGGCCAGTGTCAGAGATGGAAAAAGACAGTCTTGGTTGTTCTGCAGAAATGTGGTTGAAAGTTCATCTCTTAACTATTTCATCAACATTGTCAACATCCTGGTTCAGCCTTTGGACAGTTACAGGATGATGGATCGAGTCCCTTTAGCTAGGGAACAGAGTTCATAGTATGGAATAAAGGCAACACCTTTTGGTCTTCCCAAGGTTTAGTTGGAAGAAATTTCCATCTATTCGGTCCTGGATGGCATTTAAATCTGATAATGTACTGTGGTGAGACTTGCTCCATCAAAGGACAAGCTAGCCTGTTTGTTTCTTTTTGTGTTTTTTGTATTTGTAGAAGGAATAATAGACTCCTACCTTGTGCCACGGAGATGGTTGAAAGGATTTACCGAGGCAGGTGAATCATGTTGCAGAATATCAAGTCTCTGACCTGCTTTTGTAACCTTGGCATTTGTGGCTGGTCCAACTAAATTCCTGGTCAGTGGGACCAGGATTTTGGTGGGGATTTTCCAATGGTCATATCATTGAATGTAATGGCAAGGTGGTTAAACTTTCTGGTACTAGTTAATTGTCACTTATCAGTCCAAACCTGTTTGTTCAATTTTCATTTGCTTCATTATCTAAAGCAGTAATCAGAAAACATTCTTATTTCTGCCCATAAGATGGAGAGAAAGGAATAGCTGATTTTGGATTGGGGTCACAACTGAAGAACTCGGTGGTCTGTGGTGTTGAGACAAACATGAGAGCCAAATAGTGGTTGAAATAAATAACCAGTTAAGTTGTATTGGAAATAGTTGCTGAATGATAACTAATGGCAAGAACACCGACTTGCTCTGTACTTTTTGAATGTTGCCATAAATTTCTTTGCCTAGCCGAATGGGTAGATAGTCTTTGTATTCAGCACATCAGTTGAGAGGTAAAATATGCAATGAAAGCTTAAGTGTAAGGAAAAGGAAAAAGAACAGCAATGCAGTTGCTATTATTTGCCATGGAGGAAATGTTAAACTAAATGTGATATCTTCAGAAAATGGACAAGAAGGAGAAAAGGAAAAATAGGACTTGGTAACTATCTGTGACTTGGATTGCACTCTGAAAAACTATCTATTTCTACTTGCACCATTCTTTCTAAATTTTATTTTATAATTAATTTTGTGCAAAGAGGTAAACAAGTAATTTTTAAACATACTGTAACTTGCATGATATTATGCTCTCTTTAGTTCAATTTTTGATGTGTTTATACTCTTCTTGTATACATGTATTAATTTAAGTTTTTTTTTATAAATAATAGTTTTGGGCAGAAGTTAATCAACATGATCAAAGATAGACTATCTATTGACTCACTACATATAGTGCAAAGCAGTTTTAGTTGAATGCAGAAGCCAAAATACTATGAATGTTGGAAATACTCTAGTCGGGCATCATCTGCTGAGTGAAACAGGATATAATTCAAATTTTCTAACCTTGAGGTTAGAATTGTAAGAATTGAAAGAAATTGGAGATGTAATTTGTTTTAAGTGAATAGAGGTTAAGAAAGCATTGGTCTGATGTCCCTTGGGACAAAACAAAGAATAAGGTCTGTGACAAGATAGAAGGTAAGAGAGATTAAATGACAGAAATATTGATTGCCATCGCATATCTTGCACAATGAGACCAGTAAAGAAACAAAAGCTGGTTCAAGAGGATATGCAAGTGTGAATACAGCAACTCTAGTCTGAGTTTTCAGAATCACCATTTAGTAAACAAGAAGATTACACTCTCCACTTTGTAAGCCAATCACTGGAGTTGCCTTTAGGAAATGAGATGTTTTTGTCTCTGTCTCCCCTTTAGTTTTCATGAGAAAATGTAGTCAAAGTACATGTTTTATCCACTTTATCCTGCTGTATTATTCTGTACAAACGTAGTTGATCATCTGTCTCACCCCACTTTCATGCCTTTTCCCACATTCCTTAAATATACTAATGATAAGTGTCTGTAATGGTCTAGGGTAAAGATTTTTAAAGTTCCATAGTTCTTTGTTTTAAATGTTTTCTATTTATAACTAACAGTGAATAATCTCCCATCTCCCTTCAGCATCTTCCATCTGCCAAATTTATTGCCTTTTCAATTAATCTGTCTTCATCTGTTGTAGCTTCTCCTCACAATTTATATTCCCATCTAGCTTTGTATCATCAGCAAACTTGGATACATTATTCTTGATGCCTTTTTAGTCCAGTTTGAATCCACTTTTAAGTTCTCCCCTTTAGAATCCAAAAGATGTATTGGATTCAGTGTTGACTCTTTCTTTCTGTACGGATGCTGCAAGACATACTGATTTCCTGCAGCATTTTGTTCTCCTCTCTGATTCCAGCATCTACAGTGTATTACGTTTAATGAGGCAAATATTGAAATAATTGCTACATCTGCAAGTTAGGCTATATTAACTCATGAAGAAT